CCTGCGCCACTGACAAACGATCGTGCGCTCGAGCGCACCGAGTGTGCCGTGGTGCGTTTGCCCACGCCCGCCGCTGCGGCGCCTGCGCCCGTGGGGAGCGGCGGCATGGGTTCGTCCTCCTCCTCCTCTGCGCCCTCGGTGATGCGCGACAGATGCGTCGCAGCTCCGAACGAGCGACGACGGAAGGCGCCGGGCGCAGCGAGCGCGCCGAGCGAATCGCTATCCTGACTACCCAGCGACCCGGTCACCTGCGTATACTCGGTGAGCTCATCGTCGTCCGCAATGGCGAACTGCGAGCCAGCGTCGTGGCTACGCGGCCTGGCACCGCCGAGCTGGAGCGTCGTAGCCTCCTTCTCGTTCTTGAGCTTCTCGCGCCGCTCGAGTGCGTTTTCATGCAGCGCGATGCGGCGGCGCTTCGCCCTGAGCCTTCGCCAGAACCACCAGGCGAACGCTCCGAGAGCGACGATGAAGAGCGCCGCCAGCCCGCCGCCCAGCGCCGATTTGTTGGGCCCGCTGTCTGCGGTGTAGCCTGGGATGGGAACGCACTTGTTCACGGGGCAGTCCTGGCACGATGTGCGGAAGATCTGCTGGCACTCTTGGCCTTTGGGACATGCGGGGCAAGGCGCGATGTTGCTGCAGACGGCACAGCCGTCGCGTTTCTTGAGCACAAATGAGGAGGAATGGGATCGCATCGTGGCGGAGGATGTTGGGGAGCGAAACGATGAGACGGAGCAGATATGCAGAGATGGAGTGCGTGCAGATGGTGCGGTGGGGTTTGGGGTTTGAGGTTTGCTGATACGAAGCCGAGACGGGTCCAGAGAGCCAGCTCTGGAAATGTGCGGTGGGGCGCAATGCGAGTCGAAGAGGGAGAGTGCTGGAATGAAAACGGACAGACGTGGGTGGAGAGGGTAGGAGAGGGAGAAAGAGCGGGAGAGAGGATGGTGGTAGTAGCGGTGGCAGCGGAGAGCATCGAGGAGGCGGAAGCAATCCGGCCCAGAAAGGCGGGCCAGCGCGTGAGGGTTGGGCTCTGGCGCTGTGCTGTGCGGTGCTGTTCTCCTTGGCAAGTCGCCTTTTTCGGCTGCACGCCGACGCCGAGCTCTGATGGTTGCCAGATTTCCACTTGGCCGTCACCCTTTTCCACGCTCAGCACCGTTCACGCCGCTCATCATCGATGCGCCGGATAACTTCCGACGTCCTCTCACGCTCTGAGTCAGCTCGGATTAGTGCCGACCCGAGAGTCTCGAGCGCCGATTGCAAAACCAGAGGAGGATCGACAGGGGCAGAGGTGCGTGCGGCAATTCCGACGCCAGCAGCAGCAGGGCAGCGGGGCGCGGCGCGCGGCGAGCCCAAGAAACGGTGTTGGTTTCAGTGTGGAAACGCTGCTGTTCCAGTTGCTCTCGCTCGGCTGCCGCGAGATCCAGGGTCCGCCCCCCTTTTTCGACTCCCTCTGTTCTGGTTCTCAGCGCTCAACTCGCAACCAACCGTGCTCACTAGCTTAGCGCGCTGGGCTCGGGTCCAGTCGGTCTCGATCCAGAATGCTCGATTCTATACACAATGCATGTTTTTTCACAGCCTCGTGCGGAGCCATGCGAGCAATGCATCTCGAATGGTCGCCCGAGTGCCGCCTTCGATGCTATCCGCCGCCGCTGGAGGGGACGAGGTGGGTCCCCATGGCGGTGGCAGCGCCAACTCATCGTAGCGTCGGCCCTTGAGCGCGTGCACGACGCTGCGCACCTCGTCCTCGGTCCGCTCCTGCTCGAACCTCGCGTCTGCCAACTTGGCGTCGAGCACGATGCCGTGCTTGGAGTGGATCTCGACTGCAAACGGGCCCCAGCCATCCTTCTCGACCCCGTGGGCTTCCAGCTCGGCGGGTTGGTGCAGAGCTACGCGGTGGGTGAATTCGGGCGTTTGGCCAAACACCCACTCCCAGCTCTGCAGCTCGTCGAAGTTCTCCTGCAGCTTCCACCGGCCCTCGTTGCGAGTGGGCTCGGCGAGCGACGACTCGTCCACCTCGATATGCGTGCCCGGTTTGGCGCTGTGCGTGCGCAGGAACTCGGCGACGACGGCGTGGACAAACACGTCGTGCGTGAGCATGTGCCTGCGGTCCGCAAACGCCTCGCTGAGATTCGCCACGGGAGCAGGCACCGACGCGACGCCCTTGGTGACGAGTAGCTCTCCCCGCTCGTTGCGCAGCGAGCTGCCCAAACTGCCCAGACTCGCAGACAGCAGCATGGTGCCGTGGTGGTACGCGCGCGTGTTGACCAGCTTGTACGCGCTGCCGCTCACCTTTCTCTCCTCGCACCCCTGCTCGTCCGCCTCCGCCCTCGTCTTTTCCGTAGCGCTGCGGTCGAATCGCGGCTGGACGCGGATGCAGATATCGTTGCGTGCATTGACGTACGCTCCGCGGTCGGCGCGCGCAAGCGAGCTACGTGAGAGATGCAGCCCGACGGGCGTAGCGTTGAGTGCACGCGCCACGAGCTCGGCATGCGTGCGCCGGTCGAATGAATCGCGCGGCATGTGGAACGAATAGTTGGTGTTGCCCAGATCGTGGTAGACGGTGCCGCCTCCCGAGCGCCTTCTTACCATGGGTAGGTCGATCGATCGCATGGCTGCGGCGTTGAGCTCCTTCCACGGATTCTGGTTGCGTCCCACCACCACGCACGACGCATTGCGGTACAGAAAGCACACCGGCACCGCCGGATCCACCGTACGGAACAGATGATCTTCAAACGCCAGGTTGAACCACGGGTTCGTCGAGCGCGACACATACGCTTGCGGTGCGACCGAGCCCGAGCCCGACGCTGCCGTGGCTATGCATCGCCCTTCGTGCCGTACGACTGCTGCGACCGAGCGCTCCGAAGCGCGCGCGCCGACGCCGACGCCGCGAGTGAGCGCGAGCATGGTCCCGCCGCTCGTCCAGCTGCGAAGTCGACGCTGCTGGCGCTGCTGCTTGTTCGAGGGCGAGTCCTCAAGCCAGCGTTGGTGGTAGTGGGTCGAGAGCATGTTAAGCGCCTTTGGTCTGCCGACACCCCGCGTCGAGAAAAAATGCGCTTCGCTCGGAAAATCCGCGCTGTGGCCGCGTTATTCGCCGAATGCTCATGACCTCCGCTCACTTTGTCTCTCTTCCACGTCTCAATCATCGCAGCCAAAGTCACACCGCGATGGCGGAAGAAAACGTATGTATATCAAGTCGAGATGCGCGCCAGCTCGAGTCCTGCATCGAGGCCAGCGAGCGGCTCAAGTTGTAGAACACAGATGGAAAAGTGGAAGAGAGGGATTGTTCGGTGGAGGACGACTGCTATGGGGGTCTCAGCTAAGAGCGACTGTGGTATATCCCCAAAGCGGTGGTGTAGGCATTGTTCCAAGGCAGAAGGTCGGACGACTAGAGCATCATGGCACCTGCGAGCACGGCAGCGGCGAGCACGACGGCCGAGGCGCTGTTGGCGAGCTGCGAAGCGCCGCTGGCAGCTGCCGACGAGCCGGATCCCGAACCGGACGAGCCGGACGACGAACCGGAGGACGAGCCCGAGGAGCCCGAGGAGCCCGAGGAGCCGGAAGAAGAGCCGGACGAGCCCGAAGATCCCGAAGAGCCGGACGACTTGGCGGTGGACTTGGCAGTGGCAGCGGACGACGAAGCGGACGAGGCCTTGGAGGTGACGAGCGACTTGATGCCGTTGGAGATGGTGGCGGTGGTC